ACCAATCTTGTCAAAAGAGAGATTCCTACTGTTGAGGATGGAGCCTCCTCTACTTTTGGTGGGTGATGTGGCATGAAATTGATGCAGGTACATCTTGTGACTTAGGGTTGGGGTTGTATTGTTTTTGAAGTGTGTTTCTTGGAGACATATTACATCAGCTTGAGATTGTTTAAGTTCTCTGAGGAGAGTAGTGCGTTTTGGGGGGGGAGTTCAGACCCCTTACATTATGTGTGTATATTTTCATAGTGTATGTATACATTCCATGTGTTACATGTGTCTAGGGCCCAGTACTCCCATTGGTTAGTAGGGGCTGGACGTACTGGCTGTAATTGAAGCGATTTATCATGTCATAGGGACATGTTGGTTGATCTCTGTGGTTTAATTGGTTATGGTCACCCTGGGGTAGCATCAGTGGCTTCCTGCAATCTGACAAGCGGTTTTCAAACCTAAAAGGAATAGCTTCCTCTTGTGAGGTGGTGGGGATGTTAGGTGGTCGCACCTGCTGCGGAAAGAAGCATTTGTAAAACAGAACAACATTAACATTATTGACATAAAACTGAGTTGGGAAAAACAAAGTATATACATCGGGAAGTTGTAGATCAAAGGCAATCAGATGTATTACTAAGATCATCTTCTAGGTGGGGATGTCGTGGGTGGGTCGAGCCTATGATGCAGGTGGTATGGTACGCAGCGCATAGGCTCTTGTCAGTATCAGCATTCTCTTAGGCTTTGTGGTGTGTTAAGCACTTGTCAGTAGAAGGAGGGTGAGCCGAGGGGGGTGCAAAGTACCTGAAGTCAGTCGGGTTAAGGCCCATGCGTCGAGTTGTTGTAAACATTTAGTAGTGGGTAGCATTCCTGGGGGAGAGGTGTCATTCATGGGCCACAATTTCTATGTCCTCTACCGTGGCAGTCTGGGCTACTAATTTAATAAGCAGGGAGATGCCTGGAATTCTGTACAGTTAGTGGCAAACAGTGATGGGATAAAGTGTGAGTGAGTTCATAGCAAACGTAGGGGTCAGTTTTGTCACAGTCATATTCTGTTACAGGTTTCAGGATAAAATTAATCTTAGTGTGGGTCAGTGTAGTTACATTTTTTGTTTCCCCTTTGAGATTGTATAATGTTGAACATACCAAACATTGAAATACATATGTGCAACATCCTGGGTTATAACATTAGGTAGAAATCACACATTCACACTACTTTTCCAACCTGTCCTTGTGGCCCTCAATAGAGTGGGGTCAACCATGACTTATATAGATATAAACCATTATTATCTCCCTCCTCCTCCCCACCCCTCCCATCCCATGGCTCTGTGTGTCAGGACCAATTTTATGAGATTTTTGGAATGGGTAGCAATAAACTGGGATACAAGTGATTCCAGAACAGTTCCCCACAGTGTTGCAGTGTATAGTGCCCATGAATATATACGTAAGGGGAAGGCCGTCGTGGGCAGTAACTGTAAGCTGTAAGCAACATTGTTGTGGAATATTTTCATTACCTTCTCCCTTTTGATCAATGGAACAAACAATTAATTTAGGGGTTTATTGCAAGGTGCCTGGGATTGCGCTTCTAAGATAGCACCAAGCAGAGGTGATGATGAGGAAAGAACAGTGGAGGCAATGATACACTCAGGTGGAACAATAGGGGATGTCTCCTGTTCTTGTTTCAACGTCAAACTGTCTAGATAAGGTGTTTGCTTTAACATTTTTGGGACCAGATCTGTAAGTTATTATAAAGTTAAACTGAGATAGGAATAGAGACTATCTAGCCTGTCTACAAGACCTTCTCCCTTTCCGATATATGCCAAATTTTTGTGGTCGGTTATAATCAAAAGGGGATCCTTGGAGCCCTCTAAAAGATTCCTTAAGCGCTAGTATAATGGCCAACAATTCTCTGTTACCAATATCATAATTACGCTCTGCTGGAGACAACTTCTAGAGAAGTACCCACATGGATGTAAATGGGTATCCTGACTCTCCCTCTGAGAAAGAACAGCTCCTACCCCAGTTTCGGAGGCATCAACCTCCAGTATGAAGGTTTTGCTAGTGTCAGGATGTACCAGAATGTCAGCTGAAGCAAACAATTTTTTAAGAAGTTCAAAAGCTTCTCTAGCTTCCTTAGACCATATCATACAATTCGCCCCCTTACGTGTCATATTGGTGATGGGGCTATCACAGAAGAGAATCCTTTGATGCACCTCCTGTAATAATTATCAAACCCAATAAACCTTTGAATGGCTTTTAGTTCATTAGGCAATGGAGAATGTAGAACAGCCTCTAGTTTATGAGGATCCATCTTAAAACCAGAGGTGGAGATATTATACCCCAAAAACTGTACCTCAGTCTGGTCAAAGATACATTTCTCAAGTTTGCAATAACGTTTATTTTTAAGCAAGGTTTGCAGCACTTGTTTGACATGTTTGTGGTGAGTCTGAAGGTCTAGGGCATAAATAAGGATATCATCCAGGTATACCAGGACAAATGAATAAATATAGTCTCTGAGTACATCATTAATAAAATCCTGAAACACGGCCGGAGCATTGCATAACCCGAAGGGCATGACAAGGTACTCATAATGCCCACTTCTACTGTTAAATACCGTTTTCCACTCATGATTCTCCTTAATCCTTACCAAATTGTATGCACTCCTGAGGTTAAGTTTAGTAAAGACTTTAGCACTCTGGAGTCTGTCAAACAATTCGGAGATGAGGGGAATGGCATAGGCATTCTTTATGGTGATCTTGTTTAACGCCCTGTAGTCAATGCATGGGCGTAATTCTCCATCTTTTTTAGATACAAAAAAGAACCCTGCACCAGCAGGCGAGGATGATTTACGTATGTGGCCCTTACTTAGGGAATCTTTGATGTACTCATTCATTATTCTACTCTCCTGTGGAGATAAGGCATACACTGCTCCCTTAGGGGGCTTTGTGCTGGGTACCAGATTTATGGAGCAGTCATAAGATCTGTGAGAAGGTAGAATATCGGTCTGACTCTTGCTGAATACCTCCTTAACCTCGCAGTTTTGCATGGGAACTTCAGAGGCCTGAGACGTAGTAGTGGGTAAAGTAGCGATGCCCACTCTTTTGGTAATGGGTAACCTGCATCTCTTTGTACAATCTTTACCCCACTCCAGTATTTCCCCTTTGCCCAGTGAATATGAGGATTATGCTTAATGAGCCAAGAAAATGCTAATATGATGAGACAAGAAAGAGAAGCAATTATCTGGAATGCTATATATTCCTTGTGTAAAGCTCCTATGGCAATGTTAATAGGCAAGGTTTCGTGGGTAATCAAGGGTTGAGAGAGAGGTCTCCTGTCAATAGCCTCAATGGCCAGAGGTGATGATATCTCCTTGATAGTCCATCAGGGCTTTGCATGAAAAGTACTTCTTGTTACAAAGGGCCATAATATCAAGGAGAATTTTTTTTGGTTATTTCCAGAGGACATATCCATCACACCTAAGACCTGTCCCCTTAAGGTTCTTAGATGCGGAAGTTTTCCCGACTTATGGGACAAGCACTCCTCATATGTCCTTTATACCGCAGTATAGACACATACCATCTTTTCTCCTACATTGTTTTTCTGCCTCTGACAGTCTAGTGACCCCTAACTGCATAGTTTTGGATTCGGCCTGTACAGAGAGGTCAGGAATAACAGGTCTGGAGAAACGAGGTGCCAGTGACATAGTCATATGTCTGGTTCTATTTCTGGTAATATCTCTGGTGTTATGTCTGTTATCAATATGCATGACAAATGTGATAAACTCATTTAATCTCTTAGGTAGATCTTTGGCAGCAATTTCGTCAATAATTGCCTCGGGTAATCCTTCTTTAAATACGGAGATTAAACCGCTATTAGTCCAGTCTACCTCAGAAGCCAAGGTGCGAAATTCTATGTCGTAATCTGAGATAGACCGGTTCCCTTGTTTGATACGCATTAGGGCAGTGGAAGCGTCATCCTCCCTGCCTAATGGTTCAAATGTCAATTTGAATTCCGCAATGAATTGCTGGTAGTTGTATGCAATACTCCTAATACTCTCCCATAAAAGACTGGCCCAAGCTAAGGCATTACCTTTTAGTCGGTTCATTAGGTAACCAATCTTAGCTCTATCTGAGGGAAAAGATCCTGGTGAGGCCTCAAAATGGTATTCAATTTGATTCAGAAATCCCTGGCATTCTTGAATATTACCATCAAAATGCAGGGGAGGAGATAGGGAGATAGTAGGTGCCTTATGTACTGTAGGTGGAGTTACTTTAGGCAGAGGGGACATAGTCGAAGAAACCTCAGGCTGTAGATGCGCTGTTCGGGTAAGATGCATACTGAAAGCCTGGGCACATTGATCCATACGGTGATCATTCTCCTCTAACTTTCTCTCGCAAGCTGCTATGTGCTAATACAGTTCTGCAGGATCTATGGCCCTGTCGTAATGTCAGGATACTTAGTTGATCCAGCATGCAGAATTGTATCACACCGGGCCTTAAAATGGCTGGACTTAACGTACCAAAGAAGAGTCAGGATACTTGACAAGGTCAGGGACACAGAAGGAGACAAAACGATGAGGGAAAGCCGTGGGTGGACGTGGAGCTATAAATTGGCGTGGGTCCACAGAGCCCGGCATCCACCAACATATTGCAGGAGTCAGGTACACTGACGCATGGCCGCTGAGCGGCACTTCCATTATTGTCAGGGAGGCAATTACTGCAGAAACTGCGAGGTGAGGATGAATATGTTACACAGTGAACCAAAACGGAGGCGCACATTTACAGGATAGAGGTAAATACAGCAAAGTGGATTTCTACTGTTTCTTAGCAATTTAATCACTACAGGGAGCTTTAATTTTCCTGTTAACCCCTTTAATTCTGCTGTATGATTTAGATTTTGGCAAATCTTTGATTAACTTGCTGTTTATTGATAGAGATGTCGCGAACCGTTCGTGAACTTCCCGCGAACGGCTCGCCACGGTTCGCCACGAACCGTTCGCGGCGAGCTCCAGTCAGCTGACACATCCCGGCCAATCTCCAGCAGACCCCCCCTCCCAGACCCTCCCACCTCCTGGACAGCATCCATGTTAAAGGCAGCTTCAACATGGATGCTGTCCAGGAGGTGGAAGGGTCTGGGAGGGAGGGTCTGCTGGAGATTGGCTGGGATGTGTCAGCTGACTGGAGCTCGCCACGAACGGTTCGTGGTGAACCGTGGCGAGTTGTTCGCGGGAAGTTCGCGAACTGTTCGCGGGAAGTTCGCGAACGGTTCGCGACATCACTATTTATTGAGGAGACTCCTAATAGATTACCGTTGAATATATTAAACGACTGATCTATACAAAAACATGATTTTGTAGCTATTCAATATTATGACTGTTGTTATGCATCCTTATCCAGAAATATATTCCATATCATTGAACTCAGAATCTAGATTATAGACGGTCTTACTCAAATTAAAATTACTGCAATAAAATCTTTAATAGAAACTACTGTAGGCAGAGTGTTTTATTTTCCTAGAGATAATACACAAATCTTTTCCAGAGAGTCTTTGTAATTTTACCCCAGGCAGTACAGATAGTTTCGACAAGCAAACATTACACACGGAGCTATTCCATGTTTATGTAATCTAAAACCCTTATATTATATGTAAAAGCGATACGCCCTTTGTATTTCACTCAAGCAGACGGAAGCTGACACACCTCGCTTACTGTAAAAAAAACTAACAGATTGCTAAATATGTACCCAACATTTTTTCATTTGTACATTTTCTTTCCTTTACCTTACAGAATGTAATGAAATATTTGTATCTGGATTTTACTTGTCAAAAAGAAACTAGAAGGAAAAATGCACAATGTGTTTGTTCACCTTCATTTTATTTTTTTTCTTTATTTTCATCCTCTAGCAAAATACAGGAGAGGTGAATATCAACTATAGAGAGGGTCAGTACAAGAAGTCAGTTTGTGAAATTTGTGGTTTCAGGGCTGCAAACTCAATGGTAATTAGAGGAAATAATAATTTGCATAGAAGAGTGATAAATTCATGGAATAGCATACGATGTGATTATAGGAACACTCCAAGCACCTAAACGACTACAGCTCGGTGTACTGGTTATGGTTCCAGGATTGCCTTGGTGCCCTCTCATTGTAGGTAGTCAAGCCCTTTTAGAACTACTTATCTTGAGTCATGGGTAGTTGACATGGTTGGAGTTTGTCAGTATCTTAATGCTTTAATCAAGTGCACACTGTGTACTGAGAGCTAATAGAGTAGCTGACATGTTTCGTTACAGCAGCAATATTTAAGAGAAAGCTAAAGTTATCATAGCAGGAACACCAGTGAAAAATGAGATAATGAGAGAGAGATCTAATCGAAGGCTAGAAAGAGAGAGAGCTGCAGCATCACACAGAGACATGTACTGTGTGGGTATCTCTGTATTGCAGCTCTGTTTAATCCATCACAGTGATTCTGGCTGTCATCAATGTTGGTGTGCACAGAAATATTTAGCTATTATAAAAGGTATGCGCACACTGATTGCTTGCACAAATGTAAACATGAAATTAGTTTAAGATATTTTTTTCTCGGTCTCTCTCTCATTGTTGATAAATTATTATTATTATTTTATTATTTATATAGCGCCAACAAATTCCGTAGCGCTGTACAATGGGTGGATGTATAAAGTCATGATTACAAATATGATTGTAAGCTACATCATTATGTCCAAATGCCACATTGCCTACTTTAATTTCAGTTTGCCCCCTTTTATTTTGCCACATTGCACACATGCCACATAGTGTTCACTTTGCCTCCATTTTATTATGCCCACATGCCCTCTTTATATTTTCCAGTTTACCTCCAATGTATTATACCCCCATTTGTGCCATTATGCCCCATCATACTACACCATGCTACTATGCCCACGTTCATCCAAACACAGGGTGGGGATGGGATAGTCTGAGTTACAGCATGACTGCTGACCCAGACCCATATTTTTCCCGTTGCCCCAATAAGGACAAGACGCCTGGATATTGGATAAGGGTAACGGCCACAGCTTTATTTAAATCAATCAATACGCCAGCATTCCTTCCACCTGTCAGCTGTTGGGGTGATTGCTCAACAGACAGAGAATCCATATATTTTCCATAGTCCTAGACAGCCTGCCTTTCGCCATCAGTCCTAGCAGGCGGTGACTCCTTAAGCCAACTCGGTACTTCCATCACTTGCGCTTGCCAGGAAAACCGTATGCTGTGACAAAAAGAAGAACAGAAACAACACCAAACCAACAACAACACACAATAACCACCAAAACTAGGGAGGGCAGGAAACTTCTTCAACCTTTGGCTCTTTCTTAACAAGTGGTAAGACCCACCCCTCTGAGCCCCCTATATCTTATACCCTTTTGCAACAATGTATCCCCATTTTAACCCTCCCCTACTATGGGCAGAAGTCATGCCTCCCCTTCCTTGTCAGTCCAGGGGAATCCTGGAGGCTGAGGGCAGTCCCGGAAGCAGTCTCTTTAGTAGTGATGGCTCCTCCCTCACAAGGTTCCTTAAGTGGCTCTGGCTGACTAGTCTGTGTGGCCTCTGTTTCGTGCTGTCCTCCACTTCCTTCTGTGTTCCCTCCCCCTGTGATGTCTCCATGCACAGGTCAGGGGGCTCACTCACAAATGTATGTGCAGAAATGGTGCCAGTGGCCAGCAGGTGGATGCATCTCTGTGTTAGTATGCAGCTCTCTGTGCCCATTGGTGTTTTGTGCACAAATTCTTTCACATTGTGTGAGCTCCCTTAAAAAGGTGTGTATGTGCGCGCAGAAGTGCACACCTTAGAGAGAACACTGACCACCACTGTTATTCATTAAAGTCTGGATTTTGCCCATATCGATCGGAGGTGTTTGTGTGTCTGGTTTAAAATCAGTGTTTTTTGACATCTAAACTCTATAGATGTATAGAAATCGGACTATATACAAAGCACCGATTTTAAACAGAATCTAGGAGGGTGCACATTTGTAAATTATAGTTCACTTGCTTTTTGTAAGCAAACAATAATTTGAAATTCTATTTGACAGTACTAGCAGCCAGCAGGCAAATAGCTAATAAACGCTTGTGGCTGCAATCATAAATAATGAGGAGTCTACTCACTGTAACTAAAAACTAGAGACTAGGCGGCTATTGCTGCCTAGTCGCTAGATAGGCCTCATCCCATGTGGATAAGGAGTGCAAAATAACAGGAGGGACCTGCTCTGGGTTTGCATCAGCTGGGAGGTTTAAATAAAATTATGGTAGGGGTTCACTTGTTTGCCAGCGGCTGCTGACTGTAACTAAAGACTAGCTACTTGGAAGCTATTGCTACTGATGGATATGTATTACAATAATAGTAAATTCCTTAAAGGGACTTGAAAAGATGACATGAAAACTGCAAATATGCATTTGATAGAATGAGTTATCAGTCTGATTTATTATGTGATGAACAATTTGTAATTTTGGAAAGAAAAACAAAACAAAATACAAACAAAAACCGTTGTCATACATCCCACCATTTTGTTTGCCCCTTCAAACAATTTTAAAAATGCAAAAGAATAGGATCAGCTTGTGCTTAAATAGTATAAATGCAAATGGCTTCCATTCACATGTATGGAATCAATCTATTGATTAGTCATAAGAAAAGTATAAATTTGGTGATCGTGTGAATTTTTTGCAATACATAACTTTAGACTTTTTGAAGACCCTAAGGAGGACATGAATAAAAAGGATTTTAGTTGTTTCTCTATGTAAGGCCGTTCATGATTTTTTTATTTCAGTTTCAAAATTGTTCTTTCCACTCTTTAACACTGATAAATATGCAGGTTTATTTTTTTAATAAAAAGATACTGACATTAACCCCTTCACTACTGAGCCCTTTTTGGTTGAAAAAATATTAACAGAACAGTTATTTGAAACAAATTGTGAACAGCTAGCATAATATGTTTTGGGGAAACTTAAAAATGTTAATTCTGCACCTTTACACAATTGTTATTTTACCCTTATTTGTTTATCCTATATAAAAATATTTGGAAAAGTAAAAGGTTTAGAGGGTATACAAAGTACTTTATCTTGCAAGAGTTTAAATATGATCTGAAATGTTAATATAAAAGCAAAAATTTGATATTTTTTTTCCACATTCAGAAGGTGTGACAATAATTAAAATGGTCAAATATGTTTCTTTTAGGTATTTATTTGTAGGTACCCTGCAGGCATTATTATCAGTACTTCTGTTAATTCAATATTTGACCTCAGTCCATATAGGACTAATTTCTGATGAAAATACTGTTGTAAACAATTAATTTGTTTATTTATTATCAGAGTTTTTTTTAATAGAAAAAGAAATCAATTAATAAGTTGTATTCCCTACACTATAGTTCCCTCCATCTTTTATATTATAATAGAGCTATAATAGAGATATTCAAACCCAAATTGAAACGACAAACTAAAAAAGGATTACAGTAGAGCTGCTTGTAATTCTAAGGAGAAACAAGCAAAGTATGGGGGATATCCCCTATAACTTGTGAAAGGAAGAAAAAGATAAAAACGTGTTTCTAAGGCTGCTATTTAGAAAAAAAATAGGCACTTCTGGTAATGAAATATCTGGCCCCAGTCCACATAAGACTAATATTTTTTTTTAAATTCAAAAACTCTACCAACAACAAATTAAAGGTTATTGGGAGCAATAGTTTACAACAGCATCATCCGTCATTTCACTTGGAGAATAACATATAGAGAAATTTCCATTATAACCAAAGCAAGACATGAAAATGAAGGGTCTTGGGGATAGCGACCCTAATAAATTGTATAGCATGTAATTTGTTACAAATTCTTTTGAAAAAGATTTTCTTTGGACTTGCAAAATAACATTTGTAAATACATGCTTTTTTAGAGGAGATGTAATGATCTGTAAATAGCTAAAGTGGTGTTTTTGGATTGGGTAGACAAATCTTTTTTCCATATCTATTCCTTTGTCCTGAGCTTTCCTATTCTGGACAAAAGCTTGCAAACTATTTTTTTTTTTTTTTTAAACGAAATCTATAAATGGTGATTTTCAGCAAGACAAAAGGTTACCTATGTGCTTTGAAAGAATATTCAGAATGCCCTGTAAATGAAAGACTATACAATTTTCACGGTATTTGCACACATTTTGTAGTGAGTCATA